TTCAGGATACTATGGAACAAATATGTCCATGAGACTAAATGGTCTAATTGTTTTAGCTTCCACAAAACTCGAAGACAACACCTCTTTTCTTCTCAATAACCAGGCCCTTTACCCGCTGACACAAAACGAGAGGAAAAGGGACTGGAAATGAGGTCTTTATGATGATCGTTAAGCGCCTTTTCGTAATTTTGTTCTAATCGACTCAGTAATGCAGTACCAATTGAAACCTGCTTTTTGATTGCTCCTTAAGTACAGCACCACTATTGTTAGGTTAGGTTTTGTTATATTGTTGGAAGACTTATCTATTGTTTGTCCATTGTTTTCTCAACCTATCATGAGGCCCGTTCCGAGCGGTGCTACCTGGCTCAATCGACTCCTCCCTCAAAACCAAAACAAACGTCAACTGGACTTCGGTTAAGGGGGCAGTATACAGCTTAAATATATATATCTCATATATATATTAGCTATTTCTAGTCTTACGAGTACAAAAGACGTATACTAATGGAAGATTACATTTCTGACAATTAAAATTACTTTTGAATAATATATAATGACAATATTTTCCATTTGATACTTCCCTGTATATATGGTCAAGATACCCTTAAAAAAATGAAAAGTCACGATGACCGACAAACCGATACAAACCTATGCCACAATCCAACCCAAAAACAGCAAAACCAACCGGTCAACTTTCGAAATTTCAATCATGCAAAAGATGAAACGTTATTTGATAAGATCAGAATAGTCAAATCCAGTGTTTAAACTTTAATGACCCTATAGCAATGCAATGTCAAAGCTATGCATGGCCACYTAGTCGTACTAACTTCTTCTTTAATTGACAATATCCAATTCTGTCTTCAATTATGTACGTTAAAACCAAACTATGTGCAGCAGAAAATTCGAGACGATTTTGTACTTATGGATATATGGAATGGGYTCGTGAAATGGATTCGGTCTTATTAAGTGCGTTCTGGATTGCTTAAAAGCGTCCTTTTTTCTGGTATTTAATGGCAGAGCATCCAAAAAATCTAATTTTAGCGATTTCATTAGCTATAAATGACAAACTATGTGCAAACCACGCAGATTGTCTTTATTTYGAACTATGTGTATTTTAGGAGTATAATAGTTGTGAACGTGATGGAACTATACCTATATSAGATATGTGACGAAACGAGCCATGTTTTGACGTCGAAAGGTAGACAGCAGCAAATATATATCCCCCCGACCTTTACATGACGATAGATTGATAGAACCGCTAGGACGAATATCAAACAAAAATATAATAAAAGCCAAATTAATAAAACAATTTTGACAAACAAAAGCAAAACGAATTAGAAAATGCATATATGATCAGAAAATCGGGTCGTCGAACTCGTTGCAGCTCCATACAAAAAGAAATTAAAAATCAAAAACGTCAACAAGAGAATTAAATACAAGGGAAAAAGAAAGAAAGAAAGAAAACAAATGAATAATTTTTTAGTTCAAAGCGTCAGTACTTTTTTAAATCAAATTTACGGATTATCACTGCTGTTGGATTAGACGCCGTCTCAACACACCTTATAGTTAAACGCTAGTTATCTAGTATCTATTCATTATAACGCACAAGTATTATTTATAGTTCGCTTTTTGAAAACGTGATAGTGAACATGAACTTATTGYTGCAGTTACATGGATACATTTTTAATTTGGATAACAATTTAAGGGCAAGTGTCATGACAGTGGTGCAGAGTGTGGAGTGATCAAGCAAGTGTCTTGTACATTTTGTAGTTTATGATTTTGCTGTAAATAAGTTCTGATTTTTTTCCTTTTTATTATCCATTTWGTGTCTTGCTTTGTGCTTCAAATGGGCAAACGGAAACAAAATAACATTAAGAATTGAATTAAACATAAAATTGCATATAACGCAGATGTTGGTATGACGACAACGCGATCATCACTTTGATTTATGACAACAATATGAAAATATATAAACAAACACTAGCTCATAGCTCTAATAAAACATTGTAATGATTAAGCAGTCAATRAAATTCAGCCAATTATCAATTGCAAGGGTAAAAGTATCAAAGAATTTTAGATAAAAACACTAAAGAGAACGGTAGTTCTAGGCCATTTATGGTAAAACATCAGGTTAGCTCTAACAGCTCTAACAAGGGCTAAGTAGTATCATAATGAACATTCTAACTGAAATATCCTATTTG